CGGAGTTTGAATTGGACTTGATAGGAAAGGAGACAGAGATGTCACATCCGATTTCTGAAATTATTTGGATATTTGACATCTCTTGATCAATGTGTCAAATATTTCTAGGAGATACCCGGTAGAAGGCATTACTGCTCACCGTAGGCAGCGTAGTGGGGATTTTAAAGGTCGCAAACTTGATTCTGTCTCGAGTTGTCTGCGGTAACAGCCGAGTGACGCTGTGCTCAAACCCCATCCGCATTCAATGTAGGGTGTGCGAAATAAATAGGAAGCAGATCAGTTCAGCGTCATTTAGCTTCAAGAGACACCGACTGTCCAAGACGGGAGCCGATATACCGTCATTGATTGGCTGATTTTATTTAGCGTCATATCAACACAGCTCTTTGATTGGTTGGTTGATTTTGTTTAAGAAATTGTAGAATATTATATGAATTTATATCATGAAAGAGTCCTTTCATGTTGTTTGGTTGGTTGATTTTGTTTAGCGGCATATCAATACCTCTATGGGTTTTTTAATGCCGGGATCTAAATATTTTGAACATAGTTTTATAGCTTCAACTGCAGATAAAATATAATGCTGGTACATTTACTCTAAAAATGTGTTTTATATTTTCATAGTGTTTGCGGAGTTACTATTTGCCCATAGATGGAGACCTATTTGGTGCTACTACCTCGGATCATGGGGGACCTGAGAACAACAGCAATTAAATGTTGGTTACACGCTCCTCAAAATCTCCAACCACCCGATCAGAGGCCTTGTTCCCAGATTTAGTTTTCAACGTCATACCCAGGATGAGCCGTAAAGTTACATAAAGAAGACGCTTATATATATATATATATATATATATATATATATATATATATATATATATATATATTATATTTGAATAAAAGACAGACCACGTTAAGATTCCATGTAATAAGCTATTTCACCATAACCCCTTTAACAGGGTTCTGGATCATCAGACTTTACTTCCAAAAGCTGAAATGAAAAATGAAAAGAAATTCACACGTTTTTTACGGACCTCATCAAGTATACGCAAAGTTACCGAAGTGAGGAAGTGAGGTGGGAGAGAGGATATGAATGTGTCATATGTATCATTTTAGTTTCCTATTTTAAGAGTCAGAGTGCCCAGTTGAAGGAATATGCATGGCAGAGAACACAATATATGAAGCAACAATTTTCCTCAAAGAAAAGGTTGAAGAGAAAAAGATATACATTGGAATATCAGCGGGAGATTGGAAACACCGACTATACAACCATCGCCAATCCTTCAAAAATAAATGTAAAAAAAAAACAAACAGCACTATCAAATCGTTATTGGTTTTGTTGGAGAGTGGCCTAACACCACAAATAAAGTGGAGAATAATATCAAGAGCCAGAACTCCCAAAAACTTCAGAGACAGATGCAACTTATGTTTGAAGGAGAAAATCTTCATAATCAAACATAAAGATCCAGACATACTACTAAATAGACACAATGAACTAGTTTTTAAATGCCGGCACAAAAACAACCTAAACGTAAGCAAGTACACTAAGAAATAATCATATAGGAACAGCAATTTTGAATGTTTTATATTCCCTTTGTTTTTAGAAATATTACTATGCACACGTGAACGCTAACACATGACTATATGTATACAACTATGATAATGTATTTGCACACTGAGACACCTTTTGATATGTACATGTATATGTTTTATACGGAAAAAGAAGCATACCAGGTTTTTTTTTTTTTTTTTTTGTGAGTGTGGAGATGTACAATTAGATAGGTACTTATATGTTTTGCCATAAATATGAAAGATCGGGTAATATTATATGTGTAAAGATATAGATAATGTAATTAAATACGGAGATAGTCTTCGAACGCAGGCATAAGTGGATGCACGGGTGGACATGAAGATAGGGAGAAATACGTGGGTAGATATATGTAAGTGCAAATTAACGCATATGTGTGTATGTAGATATTCTGCATATTGCGTATGCATATACATATGTGTGTGTATGTATATGTATGTATGTATGTATGTATGCATATATGGGTGTGTGTATGTATGTGTATATGTGTATACGTATGGATGTGTAAATATATATGTGTGCATATGAATATATATGGATATGCAGATGTCCTTGTGTGTATATGTATATATGTAAGTATAAGTATACATGGAGATAGGTATGGAGACGTGTGGATGTGCGTTTTCTCTGCAGGTGTATATGTGTAAAGATGGAAATATACATATATCGTTTCGTGTGAATGTGTGTGTAGGTGCATATAGGAACTCATAAGCATATAAGAAGATATAGGTATGTGGTTACAAATAGGGGTTTAAGACATGTGTAGATAAGAAATTGTAAAAGAAGGGCCTAATTTTCTGCTAGTGACGTCTCTTCCAAATTTCTCCTCTAATATTCTCCAATTGGAAGTGAATTTTAAATAGCACGAAGGGAAAGTTTAGATTAGTATTTTAATTGAGATTGAAAGATACTACCCCAGTGTGGAGAATAAAATTCTTTAAATGGGAATAACTGTTGATAATTGGGTACATAAAAACAACCACGAGTTTACTTAATGAACAAAAATCAAAAACAATCACGAGTTTACTTAATGAACAAAAATCAAACGAATAAATGTCAACCTAACAAGCTATAAGATAAAAAGTTTTTAGTGGAAAAAGTACTAAATATAAATTTGATTACTCTTCCAATGTTCTGTCTATGGATTTTTCCAATCGACTGCTTCATAGAAAATACCCAAAACTCCACCGAATTTCAAGTTAATTTCTTCGTAGATTGTTTTAAAATTTAGATATTTATCAAACCTTAACCTCCCAAATATGCACGTTAAAGTAACTCGAACTGACAGCGTCTAAGAATTTGAATGAAACCTGTCGTGTAATTTATTGGGGTTGTTGTAACGTCTTCCTTTAATGTAGTTCTTATCGCTCACCACATAACCACCTTTATCTAGAGACGAGGCGCGTTAAATTTGAGCAACATCCAGCCGACACACTGGGGTTAAAATAGAAAACTAAAATGATACATATGACACACTCATATCCTCTCTCCCACCTCACTTCCTCACTTCGTTAACTTTGCGTATACTTGATGAGGTCCGTAAAAAACGTGTGAATTTTCTTTTCATTCTTCATTTCAGCTTTTGGAAGTAAAGTCTGATGATCCAGAACCCTGTTAAAGGGGTTGTGGTGAAATAGCTTATTACATGGAATCTTAACGTGGTCTGTCTTTTATTCAAACATATATGCTCTGAATTTTACATTGAGCTCTCTGGATATCATCCTCCTCAGGTCTACCCATACATTTACCTAAATTTGCATAAACTATATATATATATATATATAT